TGACCACCAGGGGGCAGATGCTCAATGCAGGAGCTGCCCCCTGGTTGTCAGTGTGCTCCCACATGGGGAGCTCTGCTCAGCTACAAGCCAGGCTGCCAGCTGCCAGTACAGCAGTGGTGGCGGGAGCCTCTCCCGCTTCCTTAGCAGCGCTAAGGATGTCTGACTGCAGCTTAGGCCTGTTCCCCGCTGGAACGTGGACATCCCTTGAGGGCTCCCAGGCTGCCCAGGGAGCGGGCCTAGGCCAGCAGGTGGACATCCCCCGAGGGGTTCCAGACTGCAAGAGGGCACAGGCCGGGCTGAGGGACCCCCCCCCCCCCCCCGAGTGCACAAATTTTTGTGCACTGGGCCACTAGTGTTCTTATAAAAGAGGGCTCTCACCAAAATGTAGCTATGCTGGCACCTTGATCTTGGACTTCCCAGCCTCTGCAACTGTGAGAAATAAATTTGTGGTTTAGAACCCACCCAGTCTATGATATTTTGTTATGGCAGGCTGAAAGGACTAAGACACCCTTAGCCATTTGGGTCGATGAAGAGGCAGGACCTTAGTTCGGGGCTCCTCATTAGTGAGATACTGCCCCCTCTCTGCACTGCATATTGTCTGACCCTTGCCTAGCGTCATTCTGTGGGGAAAACGGAGCATTAGGGAGCTGACACATTCATTTGACCCCTTACTTGCAGTCTCAGTAAATGAATCAAGTCTTGATTGTTACTTTTGGTTTGGCTTGTTGACTGTCAACCACCTTGGCACCTGGCAGCGTGACATACATGTTCTGGATATTAGACCCTTATGAGATATATTAATTTGCAAGTTTTTATTTTTTTGAGAGATTTCTGTTTAATCATATTTTATGTTACACTTTACCCCAAAATAACATTGCCAGATAAGAAATCAGACAAAATATCGAAGACATAAAAGAGAACAAGGATCTTTGAACTAAGCCATGCAAAATTGTGTAAATGTCAACCCGAACAGGTGCTCGGGGCAGAGCACCAGGTGGTAGAAGGGAAAAAAAATTGCAGTCACCTCATCAGAATTGATTTTATCAAAAGTGCGTCTGGGTTATTTGCATTTTTTCCTTGAAATGTGAACTGTTTATATTGTCCCAAAGGGACAAAACAGAATTTTTGCTGGGCAGTTCATATAAATTTTTGCATTTTTACTTTTAAAAATTTTTTTATTTTTCAATTACAGTTGAAAAGCTTTAATTTTGATAGCATCCAATTTGTGTGTTTTTTCTTTTGTGGCTTGGGTTTTTGGTGTCATATGTAAGAATCCTTTGCCAAGGCTAAGGTTATGAATACTTACCCCAAATATTTTTCTAAGAATTTTATAGTTTTAGCTTTAACAGGTCATTAATCCATTTTGAATTAATTTTTGTATGAGGTATGAGTCCAACTTAATTCCTCTGACATGTGGATATCAAGTTGTCCTAGCACTGTTTGTTGAAGAAACTATCCTTTTCCTATTGAATGGCCTTGGCACCCTTGTCGAAAATCAATTGACCATGTATATCAGGGTTTATTTCTTGACTTTCAATTCAGTTCCATTAGTCTGTATGTCTATCTTTATTCCAGTACCACACTGTTTTGATTAAAGTTGCTTTAGGGTAACTTTTCAAAATTTGAAAGTGTGAGTCTTCTAACATTTTTTTTCTCAAAATTTGGCTATTTGGGGGTCCTTTAAATTCTATGTGACTCTTAGGATCAGCTTTTCCATTCCTACAAAAATGATTGTTGGAATTTTGATAGGAATTGTGTGAAGCATGTAGATTGTTTGGGGAGTATTATCATTGTATTAAGTTTTCCAGTGTATAAATACGGGATGCCACTAATTTAGGTCTTTAAATTTCTTGGGCAATGTTTTGCTTAAGTGTATTCCTAAGTAGAGGGAGCTAGTGATCTTTACCAAGTGGAGATGGCTGGGAGTAATCTTAGTGCCAAAGAAATAGTTATTGTCATTTACGCAATAAAAGTAACTGCCTGTTCTTGAACACCTAATGTGTCAGATGCTGTGTATTCTTTGTGAACTTACGTAGACAATCTCTAGATTTAAATAGGTTTCAACGGGATCTGGACTCTAGGCACTTGAGAGTTCAAGTAGGCTTCATCTTGGGTAAATTGTTCGTACGCATGGCATATATTAGGCGTTACTCTGCTTCCACCTCTGGTTTCAAATAATAAATTTTCATTTAACTGCTAGATAACTTATTTCAGCAATTTTAAGAGTTGAAACCCTGTCAACTTCCTATCACCTCTCTAGTGTCTGTTCCTCGCGAGAAGCATTCTCTTAGAATCTTCTAGTCTACCTGTTCTTTAACTCTCAAACTAAACAACACAAAAATATGTGCTCTACTTCCCCGCCCCCCCAGCCTTGCTTACCACTCAGAACATGTTAACATCAGCCCAACATCTGGGAGAGGTCCTTCAGAAACCATACAAAGGACTTTTTTTAAGCATCCAATTTGGCTTGTTGATAGCAGGTCTGCCAATTTCCAGAATTCCAGGATCAAGATCTTAATGTTGATTATCTGAGAACTATTCTAAGTGCTTATCCTCCCATGTTTTGTCTGTGTTAAGAAACTGTAACTCTTGGTATTTTTCTCTCTCAAATATCAAATAATGTATTTCAAATCTCAGCGTTATCCTGTTGTCTGAAGTTTTTTTCATTTACCTGACCAGCTCTCTTGCAGTGATTTAACATTTCTTTATTCCCCAGGGAAAAGTTAACCATCGGATGCCGCCAGCTGGTTGAGATGGAGCATGCCATGCAGCAGTGCAATGCATCTGTGTATATGGAGGCCAAGAACAGGGGGTGGAGTGAAGACATGCTCAATGATAGGACCTAATCTGGTAACTCGAAAGGATTGCATTTGTCTTCAAGAACAACAGAGTAGCTTTCAACCTTTTGAGCCAAACCCAAGAGACTTGTAAGAAATCTCATTTGTATAAAAAGGTGATTGCTTATTACTGATAGTCTCATTGAGGTTCTCTAAAAAGCCTAATGCATCCGTTGTGGGATAAACTGTGAACTCAACTCTTCTGACGTTGACAATACTTTCCTACCTCCACTCCTGATACTGAGCCAGAATGTTTAAGGAAAGGAGAGCTGCTTTTTTAGTCACCTTAGGGCAGAAGCCATTGTGGCCCCTGAAGAAGGCACAGCATTAGCGTCTCTCTCAACCCTGAATATATGGTTACACGATCAGGGACACTTCCAAACTCCAAGAAAAAATTAGGACATGACCATACTCACCATTATTCCACAAATGAAAATCTTACCCTGGACTGTTTTATGATTAGCATCTTCCATGTAGACCTGGTGAATGCAATGCACATCCCTTTCACTTCCCCAAGGTGCTGAAAATAGAATTGTCACTTCTGCTCCAACTCTCAGTAGCAGCCTTTCTTCTGCCCTAGGCTTGTCACTTAACGGTGCATTTCTAGTGAGGAGCAGGGAGACCCCTATACAGTTTCCCCTTCCATGTGAAGCAGCATGAGGTAATGGGATTAGGTGGCAGTGACTGAGGTTTGCCTCTAGGCAAACAAGTGTTTAATTGACTTATTTACTTATACTGCGAGTTGGAAGTCCTTGTTTTTTGGAGTATATTATGCTTTTGTTAGTAAATTAAATCTAATTTGGTATTCTATTATAAATGCTTTTTTTTAAGTAATAAATTATTTTTAGTAAGATTTAACTTTTCATTTTACTTCCAAATTGTATTTCTGAATGTGTGCAAGGTGTGATTATAAAGAGAACCTACTCACGATGCTCACTAGTAGTCTGTGTAGGACCCACCGAGCTTTGTTCGCACCCGAAGTGCTGGGGCTCACAGTGCTGTCTGCTTTGCACCAGGGGAAGAAGCCCTCTGCTCTCCAGGAGCCAAAACATCCCTTCCCGTGGACCAAATGAATTTTTTTCAGGTCCTAATCCATCAGCTGCTTTTGGTTATTACTGTTGGGTTTCAGCTCATCTTTGTTCCCTGTCTTTCTATCCTGTCTTTTAATCTATGTTACGTATTTCAGAGCGTTTCTTTTCACTCCTATTAACTGCTACTTCCTATTTCACTCTTATTTATGTGCATTTTAATTTTATCTTAGTCTGTGTGTCTTATACTTTGTGCATTAATTTGTCAATTAGTTCAACATTTCTTAAATTTTATTGATTTGGGAAAGTGTTTTCTTCTAATGTTAGGTTTGGGATTTTTTTGGTCTTTTTTATTTTTAGAAACATTCTTTTAAACTTTTTTAGTCTTTGTTTCTTTGAAATGTCAGGTTTTCCCCCCTCTCTCCCTTGTTGCCTTCTCTTCTAATCTTTAATTTTATTACAGTAAGTCTAGTAATTGTCTGTCACTGTGCACACTTGTCACAGTATTATTGACTGTATTCCCTTTCACCTTTTCAGTCATTCCCCATTTTTCTCCCCCCTGGCAACCATCAGTGTGATCTATTTATATGAGTCTGTTTTTGTTTAGTTTGTTCATTTGTTTTGTTTTTTTAGATTCCATGTACAAGTGAAACCTTACAGTATTTTCTTATTTTACTTGGCATAATGCCCTCTAGGTCCATCCATGTTGTTGCAAATGACAAGATATCATTCTTTTTTATTTCTGAGTAATATTCCATTTGTTTATTTTTGCTTTTGTTTCCCTTGCATGAGGGACATATAAATTATAGAGGCTAGTGTCAAATAGTTTACTGCCTGTGTTAGCTTCTAGGAGTGTTATGGTTTCAGGTCATACTTTGTCTTTAATACAGTTTTAGTTTTTGTATAGTTTTTTGTAAAAAAGTGGTCCAGTTGTTTTTTTCTTTTGCACCTATCTGTCCAGTTTTCCCAGCACTTTTTGAAGAGGCTGTTGTTTCTTCATTGTATATTCTTACCTCCTATGTCATAGATTAATTGACCATATAAGCAAGTTTATTCCTGGGCTGTTCTGCTCCACTGATCTAAGTGTCTTTTTGTCCCAGTACCATACTGTTTTGATTACTGTGGTTTTGTTGTAGTCTGAAATCAGGGATTGTGGTACCTCCAACTTTGTTCTTGTTTAACATTGTTTTGGCTGCCCGGCCAGTGTTGCTTAGTGGTTGAGCTTCAACCTATGAACGGGGTCACAGTTCAATGTCAAGTCAGGACACAGGCCCAGGTTGCGGGCTCATCCCCAGTGGGGGTCGTGCAAGTGAGCCGATTGATGTTCCTATCTAACTTTCTCCCCCTTCCTCTCAATAAAAATATGTAGTAAAAAAAAAAACAGTTTTGGCTATTTCAGGTCTTTTGTGATTCCATAGCCATTTTAGGATTATTTTAGTTCTGAGAATGCCATTAGTATTTTGATAAGGATTACATTGAATCTGCAGGTTGCTTTCAGACATGTGTTTTGATGAATTAGCAGATCCTTAGAAGAGCAACTTCAGGTTTTAAAATCTCCATTCTTTAATATGTATGGCTATTATATTTTGAGCAGAAGCCATCATATGCATGCCATGAACCAAAGTGGACTGATGGGGAAAGTCACACCAGGGTAAGGGGTGCCTACTTTATACTCTTGGCTATGTCGTAGTGAGGAGCTGGTGATAACTTCATGAGAAGCATCCATGAGGATTATTCTATCAAAGTTCCTGGCACCACTTTGCACTAGACTTTTCCAACTTATTTTTCCAGAATGCCATAAATAGAGCCATTTGAGGCTGCCTTTTAATTTAGCATCCTCCTGCAATCCATCCATGTGTTATTAGTACTTCAGTTCTTTTTATTCCCAAGTAGTATCCTATTGTATGAATGGAATTTATTCATTCACTAGTTGGAAGAATATTTCAGGTTTTTTTAAAAATATATTTTATTGATTTTTTAACAGAGAGGGAGAGGGATAGAGAGTTAGAAACATCGATGAGAGAGAGAAACGTCGATCAGCTGCTTCCTGCACACTCCCCACTGGGTATGTGCCTGCAACCAAGGTACATGCCCTTGACCGGAATCGAACCGGGGACCCTTGAGTCTGCAGGCTGATGCTCTATCCACTGAGCCAAACCGGTTAGGGCAGAATATTTCAGTTTTAATTGACAATTGTGAATAAAGCTGCTTTATTCACACAGGTTTCTGTGTGAACATGGGTTCCTTGCACTTGGATAAATACCTAGGAATGGGATTACTGTTATAGGGTATTTCTCTAAGAAACAGCCAAACTGTATTCCAAAGTGACCTTACATTTTCTGATTTGTCCAATATGAGTTCATTACTCTGCATCCTAACCAGAATTTGGTATTATTCAGTTTTAATGTGACATTTTGCTTTTTACATTTTCTTAGTGATTTATAATAGCATAATTTCATGTTCTTATTGGAACCCATTTATCTCCTTTGTAGTGTCTATTCAAATCTTTTGCCCATTTAAAAATTGTTTTGAGAGTTCTGGATTCAAATCCTTTATCAGATGCTTTTGTTGTTGTTGTTTTCAAGCCCTGTGCCTTTCAAGACTTGATACTTTTGGTTTAGAAAACACTAGCTTAATGTAAAAGATGGATCTTTTCATGACTTGCAAGTAGCCTTTGATAGATGCCTTCCATTTAATATAGCAACCCCATTCTTAAATTGCTGATATTTCACTTCATTTCCTAAGTTTCATTTTCATTTGGTATCTTGTTCTTTTCTCCAAAAGGCTAAAATTTTATCAATCCCTTAGCTCTATGTTCAAATGTATGTCCTTTTTAGATTCTCCTATTTTCACAAGATACCAACCTTGTACATACCGTTTCTTAATTGAGCTTTTGCTTCTCATTCTTATTCAACCTCCAACAAGTGATGAAGCTATTAATAGTGAAGTTTAAATATTTTGTTGGCCATCTATTAATTTCAAGAATCTGTGGCATTCATGAGTATATCCCTCTCCATAAACTCTACTTGTTGATCAATATTTCACTTTACAGAAAGGATTTATTATGAAGGATATTGGTGCTTCACGTAATTTTTTTAACCTACAGATGATGTTTTTTCTTGATTTTTAAAAAAGTGAGTAAATTTAACATGTAAATGTATTAAGTTTAAGGTACAGTATTGTTATTTATATATTGTAATGATTGCTGTGTAGTTATTTTTATCACGTTATGTAATTTATATTGTCTATATTCATTATACTCTACATTAGATCTTTATGGCTTATTTGCTACTTGTTGCCAAATTTGTATGCTCCAACATATCACTCTTACCCACTCCTGCTAATCACCATTTTACTGGTTTCTACAGGTTAAACTTTTTAGATTCCACATGTAAGTGTTATCATTACAGTGTCTGTCTTTCTCTGACCTGTCTTGCTTAACATAATGTACTCAAGGTCCATCCATGTTGTAGCAAACGGAAGAATATCCTTTCTCATGGATGACTTATTTAACAAGTCTCCTGTTTATGGGACCAAATTTGTGGCTTGGCCCTATTATTTAAGATTCATATGTTGGTGTTTCCCTGCCTATTGTTCTCTTTTACACCCAGTTAATTTACCTTGTATCTTATGTCTTAGTAAAAAGACTCTTCAAATCCTTTTCTGGAACATAGTAGGATACAAATAAATGCCTGACACTAGTTTTCTGTGACTCATACTTTTTTTTTTCTTTAATATTTTATTGATTTCAGAGAGGAAGGGAGAGGGAGAGAAACATTGATGAGCATTATTGATCGGCTGCCCCCCGCACACTCCTTACTGAGGATCGAGCCAGCAACCTGGGCATGTGCCCTGACCAGGAATCAAACTGTTACCTCCTGGTTCATAGGTTGACACTCAACCACTGAGCCACACTGGCTGGGCTGTGACTCATACTTTTCTAAAGATAACTCTGGAGTTGCAAAAATATCCTAATTGTACTTCCTCTTTTGCCTACTTCAACTTTAAGAATTCTGAGGCCCAGAGAGATTATAGGTATTAAGCAAGGATTTTAGCACTATATCATGGTCCCAAATCCAGGGGCTCCTCCTCAAAAATATGA